GGCTTGGGGTTTCTTCTGCCCCTAAGAAAAGCACTTAAAATTTGGAAAAATGATCTGAGCTGTCCTGGTCAACAGAAAAATAGCAAGATTAGTTCAAGAGCAGACTAGCACAGCTTTTGACCCAAGTCCTAGTTAGAGGGCCAGAGAGAGGAGCACGTTCAAAAGTGAGATATAAATTAGGTAAATTTTCACATCCCCTTGAGAGAATGACTGGTTCAAGGGACCAGGAAGATTTCTCATCAGCATGTAGCTTCCCCAAACCGGCCATCTCTTTGGGCAATGCTAATTCCACTTCACGCCTCAAAGGGCTGTGCAGCACATTAGACTCATCGATCCCCAAATAAAATGTTTTCTCTTAAAAGCAACTACTGCACGGACTCGTACTGAAGAGATCCCTCAAGCCTGCCTGTCTAAGGATTTTCCATGAGCTCCACCACCCTAGCGCCCCACACTACTACCAGGTTAGATCTGAAAGGGGAATGTCACGTAACCTCCACTGTCTGGGGCAGAGGCGGCAGACGCACGTGGAGCCAGCATCAGCCCTGGCGTGGTCTGCCAGGGTGCCCCAGCGCCCTGCAGGCTGCTGCAAGAGCTTCTGGCAGGGAGGACAGGAGACACCCCCTCTCCTGCTGCAAAGGACCATGGGCTCCCGCAGAGGACCAAAACCAGGCATAAATGTCACATTTCAACCGCTTTTAATCAAATCTTGCTGTGAAAGCAGCAAAGGGAGTCAGCCATAATCTTTGTTAGGAGGTTGAACGTGGAATTATTTGAAATGAGTGCTGGTACACAAGCCAGATACCTTTCAATATCAAGAGCATAGCCATAATATATCAGGTATCACTTTGCAGGGTGAGTTTTAAATACGTTCTATATGTTGAATCATATATTCAAATACTGAAACGGACAGCACACTTAATGAGCAGCCCAGGTGGCTACTGCAGATTTTGATTTAAAACAAGATTGCCAAGACCAAAACTTATTTGCCAAAATGGAAGTCTCTTCAGGTGCTCCCTTTATATCACTTCAGCTGCCCACCATTACCAAAGCAAAAAATGTCATATACAGGACACATATTTATATAAACTCACTGACTGTTTTTTTCCATCTATACTCTGCAGTATAGATGGTCTATATTTGGAGATACTCCAGACCAAAAGGAATGAATATTGCTTTGATCCCATAAGCTGAAACAAAAAAAATTCGGTTTATACCTGGTCCCAGATTGCTATATGTATATTAGATACATAAATCAAACCTCCCCAAATTGGCAAACAAGCAACCAAAATTCTACCTAACATAATCTAGCATAACCAATTGGATATTTTATTTTTCTGGTAGTACCATAAGTATGTTAGATGTCTATACCTCACACTTCATAAGTACTTTCAGGTAAAACGGGAGTTATTAAATAGCTACAAGACACCGTGAAGATACACTTTTTTAATGGAGTGATGCTTTGAGAATTTAATTTTTAATGTCTTTAAAATATTTCATTACTTCTAAATTACTTTAGGGATGAGGAAAAGAGTTGGTATACTTTGAGTAGCAGGCAAGGAAAGCAGTCAAGTACATCTGACTTCTCTCTGGCTTTCATATTGTTCACAGGTGCAAAGATGGAAAAAATACTGAAAAAAAGGTTAAATCACGTTGTATGAAGGGATCTGAACTGAATCAGTGAGACAACAAATTATAAAGAGGTAGAGCAGCAATCTATTTAAAAAAAAAGAGTAACTGTCCTTACCCACAGGTATGATTTGATATTCTGGTTTTCAGAATACGGTCATGAAGCACAGATATCCCACCCACTCCTCCAACAAGGAAAACACTTAAAGATGGGTATGATACTAAGAAGAAACAATGGCAATGGCTTAAAAGCTGTTATTCCAAAAAAAATCAAGCACGTGAAAAATGAGTTGCTCCTATTCAGTATGAGCCACTCTGCAAAACCCATTCTCCCTTATTCCACAGTTATGGCCAGAGGTCTGAATGAAATGGCACCAGACACAAAGGCATTGCGTATGTGGAGTGCTTTGCCTTTTCAGTGCAGATCTCGGTGAACAGCACCTACTGGGACACCAAAAGCAATTACTGGTGGTTTCCAGGCAGTCACCGTAGTGGGCAAATTGCCCTTTGAGGCTGTGTGAGGCAGCCCAGATATCATCCTTCCATAACTAATAGGAGAGCACGAGGAGGGGATTTTTTACTGAGACAGGATGAGTTGATTAGATAGCTGCTGGGGAGGATCAGATGACATCAGATGGGGCTTCAAGTCACACTTACTCTGGTCTGTGGGTGAGCTGCTGCCACCCAGAACTGTCCCACTGCACTCCTTGACCCGCAGCAACAGGCTTCCTGCCCCTCTCGTGGGCTGGAGCCAGCCGTTGGACACAGGGGATGTGGTTCCATGAGCTGACCCAGTGGAAAACTACGTGGGTTTTGCTGTTTTTGGCACGTTAATTTTCCATTAGCCTGCTCTGCCGCTCCATAATCAATTGAAAGGACTTAAAGGAAGCAGCAAGAACTTGTGGCTAAGGGCAAGATGGATCGAGGCCACCCTTTCCATGGGAGCCTGCAGTTACATCAGATTAAACGTAATGTGAAACCAACGACTGCACTGGTGGTGGTAAGGTTGCCTCCATGAAATGCATATAGCGTAGATCTAAATGGGCTTGCAGCCTGATTCGCAGCTTTGTGCTCCTGTGCTGTGTGTCTGAGGCATGCCGGGGCTCCGCATGGTTTGAAGAGAGGGTCTTGGCCAGCACAAGCCCCACAAGACATGCTTCCTGCCTTTAGCCCCTCTGCCACATACCTTCTCTCTCAACTGCCCAAATACTGAGACAAGAAAGAAGACAGTAATAGCCCACTCCTGATTTCTACAAGGGCTTCTTTTTGTCAACACAAAACATAGAGTGGATGACCTTTTCTTCAGGCAGTGAGGTAACACATAGATCGGAAAGGGCAGCTCCATCAGTGTGACTCCTGAGACAAACCTAAATACCAGATTAGACCTAGAAAAGGGACTTCCTCTGGTTACCATTCCTGATTACCACCCTTAGAGGGAATTGGTGGTATTTAATTTTTTGGAACTACATAAGTTAGGTTTTTTCTATTATGTATTGTTACCATGACTGTTATGGCTATGAATTCTTCCTTGGTCTATAGTTCTTGTGGTCAGCCACAGAATGATTTTGATAGCCTGCTGGATGCCAAAGGAAAGTATATCTGGATTTGGCTGAAGAGATCTTCAAAGTCAACTTCAAGTGTCAGTGCAGATGTACATGGTGGCTTCTACAATTACTTCTCATTACCTATCAGAGGACTGGTGTGCGTGTGTGTCCAGAAGAGGGGATGGAAGAGAGATGGGGTTAAAGACTAAACCATTTATGCTTTGTCAGAGAGAATGAGCATTGCTGCAAAAACTAAAATCTCTCCCTCAGACCACATGGTAGCAAAGTTCCTCTGTTCCTCCAGGAGAAACCTGAAGTAGACATGGCTGAGGAGCTTCACCCTTCATCCCTGAGCCTCAGTCCCATCTCTCCAGCAGAGACTAGCCAAAGGCAGCTTTCATAGTGCTGTCAGAGAAGTAGTTCCTAGATTTTGGACAGGTAAGGCAGAAAGACTGCCCATTTCTTGTGCTTTTCTAGGAAGGCAGCTATAGACTAAATTTAGATTTTATCTGTATTCTCTTCCTTCCATAGATAACTTCTGGTTTCTCTCAAAACCAAAATTTGAACATGGCTTTTTGTTTTGGTTTGTTTACATTTCTTGTTTGGTTTGTTGAAATCTTGCCCCTTTGAGCATAGATATGTGGTAAAAATGCATGCTATATGAAGAAAACCTTGTCACAAAAGATGTGTTGTGCAAAACTTCAGTGAACTGAACTCCTAATTAAGAAAAATTCCTTAGACCTGTCTATCATGTAACCAATAATCACTTCTGTTAAGAAAATCATTTTCCTGGAGTTGAAAAGCAATTGAAAGGCTGCTACTCAACCTCCAAAACATTAATTTGTAATCCTAATTCAGTGAGTATCATGCTGTTTAAAATCGAATGACTAAATGTCCTTTTTTTAAAAACAATGCAACGAATTGTTTTTAAATTCTCCCTGAAAGACAATCACATTCAGATGTTCCTTGGCACCAATTAGTTTCAATGCAGCCATTCCAAAGGCATTTCTTCTTCAAATAGAATGGTATGTTATATAAAGTTATGTGGCTATTGGAAGGGAACTCACGTACTGCATTAAGGTGAGGGTCCAGACTACTACTGGGATACTTAGCAGCAAGTGCTAAATCACAGTTCAATGAGGTCACATAATCAAATTCCAGATTATCCCTTTTATTACGTTTGACTAATAAATCTTTGGAAACTAGAGTCTGACAAGTTCATCACAGCATTTTAACTTTTCAGTGGTGCGTGTAGAATACATATACATATAGAATCTTACAAAAGCAAAAAAAAAAAAAAAAAGCAGCAGCAAGCCCACAGTAAGAACGGAAGAAAAAGTAGTCTTTATGTCAGATGCCACCGGACTGAAAAGTTAGGATGAAAGATGTGCCTCCGTTTTTAATTTGAACCTTCTCAACTGAAGTAGAGCAGTTTATCATTTAGTTCCAGTGAACAGATTTGCACATCAGACATTTCACTGTATTATGGATTGGACAACGTTAAATATGTTTTCACTGCAGTTCCACAGTCACTGGCATGGGCATAAGCCAAGACCGTACGGTTAAGATTACTGCAACATAGCTATCGGTCATGCAGCTAGCTCTATGGTAACTAACAGCATTTAATGCTTAGATAATATGGTTTCATTGTCACAAACGAAATTAAAGAGCCCTTTCCCATATAGAGACAATCCAAGCAAAAGTCCGCACCATTCCACCAGGCTGTTAATTAAACTTTTTTCCACCAGGATTCAAAAGGAGGAGGGAGTTAAGGGAACTCACTGATATAGCAACATGGTTGAACGCAAACCTATGCTGCGGAAGACTTACCATCATCCAGGTACATCTGGTCCAATTCCTCAGGTTCTCGCTTGATCGTTACAGGAATAGGGGCCAAATTATGATTACTTTCCTCATGCAACTCTGGCAATGACAGTGGTTGGGTTGTTGGAGACTCATTTCTGTGAACCTTCGGCAGTTGCTGCTGCTGTTGACCCATTATGGATGAGTGAGTTGGACTGCAGGACTGCAAATAGGTTGGCTCTTGGGTAACAGATGGAACTGGAGAAGAGGGACTGTTGGGATAGAGTGTTTGTTGGTAACCAAGGGGACAGCTACTGCTCAGATGTTGACTCACCTGCGGCTGCAGCATGATGTGAGATGATTGCTCGGGGGAGCTTGGGTGCACAACTATAGACCTTGGCACTTCCTGTATGGTGGGAACACCTCCAGCGGGCTGCTGAAGTCCGAGGTGACTGTGGCCCGGGTTGGGGATGCACTTGTAAGGAGAGGACGAAAGGTCGTGCAGCTTGGGGCTTGCGTTGGGAGAGGGTGACATCACAGCGTTTCTCTGCTGACAGGAGGCAAAGCCAGCCACGAGGCACGAACCAGGATCAGGGGGCATCATGATCTGCTGGCTGTAGTATGGTTTAGAGAGAGGGCTTAAGCCTTGGTTCATTGGTCCACAGGTTTGAGCAGGCTCATAGTCATCTGTGGGTTCTGTTTTTATAATTGGAACTGTTAAAAGAAAAAAGTTTTAAATAAACATGAGTTGCGTATTGGTATGATCAAGTTGGCTTGTGGCTAGGATACCCTTTGCAAAACAAACAACGTCTTGAATAAGACTCTGTGTGTCTTTTGCCTAGTTCTCCCACCCTATAAAAAAAATGAATGAGTCATCAGCACAAGAAAGTCACAGCTGGTTCTAATATTGAAAAGGACTATTTTCTTTGGACTCTCCTCCAGCACTAATGTGCTATAAAAATCTATTTGCAAATAGCTGTGCTTCAGTGGAAGCTTTGGACCCAAGGGCTCCATGGATTTGTAGTAATCAAAGCAAGAATTTTAACTTGGATATACTACTGCATTTCTACGGCTACTGATGGCCCATTTGATAAATGTCTGCACACTCGGTAAACTGAAGCATAATAAGGTAGAGATGGGGCTTTTAGAGTTCAGTGAAAGTAAAAGTGCAAAGGTACATGACAAACTACTATGTACAAGAACTTTTCCATTATGAGGGTACTTTTGAAAGAGTAGGATTTGATTTATTTAGTTTTTACATGATTGTGTTTAATCTTACTAACCAGCCAATGGGCGTAAAATATTCAATAAGTTGCATCCAACTCTCAGTGATTCTAAGTTGGACCCAAACTGCTAATGCCAGCTCCTAACAAATGTTAACTCAGTCTCTGGCTACCAAGAAAAACTGACTCCTATTCTAGACCTCTGCTTCCTCTACCCATTGTCCCAAAAGAGGCTCTAATTGAGCTGTCAAGCCATGTCTCTAAATACCACCAGCACATGGACAGAATGACTGTCTATGAGCATCAACTCAGCCATGACAAATGTAGAGCTGTTTTCTCAAATCAGAGAAAAGATCCTTCCTCAAATCAAAGTGCCTTTTTCACACTGGCTTTCTCTCTCAAATCAGAGGGAGGTGCCTTTGCTGCTTCTCCTACAACATATGCAGTGCATAGGTAAAACACACCCACTTTCTCTATCAGGAAAATTATAAATAATAGGGCCAAGTAAGTCTGTAGATGTATTTTTTCTAGCCAGATGCAACTCTAGTGCATACAACAATTGAGTATGGACGCACAGTTGCATTTATGTTCTTTCCCAAAAAGAGATCCATAGGAACAGCCATTGCTTGAAGGCGCTGTTGGAAATTTACGGTGACACCAAAGAATGTCTTTCAGAATATTAGAATAACCAACCCACTGCGGCACAAAGTTATTAATGAAACATCTTTGCACAACTCAGCTCAGAGCACATGCATGTTGCGTCAGTGTCTCTGACTGTATTTTTATTTGCATGTGTTTTACAAACACCCTTACACATTCTCCAGCCATTTAGTATGTTCGTGTATGAGTCTTTTGAACCCCTAAAAATGCACGTGTGTCCATGTGTACATATAAAACCTCTTTTAACACTCACAGATTTTGCTGCTGGTGAATGCACTTCACTACCCTTGTTTTACAGTCCCCTAGCCTCTTGTTAACTTTGCTCCTTTTATGTTCTTTTACATATAGATGCTTGCAACACTTGTTTCAAGATTTCTAGCACCCCTAGTAAAAACATGTCTATATATGTAACAGATGCACAGGTGCTGCTCAAGATGAATGTGCTATGGATAATGGACTGTCGTTGGATTCCTCATAATCTTATTTTCACCTGCTCGCGTGCTGCGCACTGGCTAGCAGGGCTACTAAGGCACTTGGTTGCAGAGAGGCAGATTCCAGGTTCAGAGACAGCTTTATAAAACCAATATCACACCCTTTATGAAAATGCAAGACCAAAGAAACGCACCTAGATAAACATAGCAGCTCAGATATTGTAAGAAAATACCTTTAACAAGTTCCTGAGCTAGCAAATATTCTCACATGTTTTATATTAGGTTCACTGTACTAGCACTAACCACAGCACAGCTGGAAATATGATGGTTGTTGAACACTGAATTTTCCCAATATATCACTGTTATAGAAACACCTGTGCTAAATAATTCCAAGCTCAACCACTGGCAATTCAACTCCAATAAACCCTGGAGTTGTCTGACTTGTTATAACCTACGGAAGGGTTATGGCCCTGGTGGCAGGCAGGCTGGAGGCTTTAAAGGCGGCAGGTTCCTGATCTCAGGCTGATTTTTCATCGTAGCTCTTCTACAGCACATCTTTGCTACTTGGCTTACCAGGCACTTTTTTGTCACTTCACTTTGAATTTTTTCTTTAGAAGAGCAATGCCATGGGGTCTATTTGGAGGTCTAATTAGCGGCCATGAACATTGGGAATCTGTTTTCATATGTTGCTACGCTGAAATACACCTGCTGCAACCAACAGTAAGTCCTACTCTGCACTGGGCAAAGGACTGATGGGCAGAAGGGACTCTATTCCAGACCTGTTTGTCCAAAAGCTCTCCTGGAGATGGTGACAGCAACCAAGGATATTCCTGGCTGCCCATACATTCAGAGTTCAGAGGGAAAATAGAGGCTGGTGTTAATTAGTCAGGGTAAGTCACAGTAGCTTATTTGCTGATGGCAGGTTGGTAACCAGAGAGGGAAACAAGAAGGAGGGATATGAGATTAAGTGGGACTTCCATTTTATTTGACATCTGTTTACATTGTGCCCTTGTATTGCTCTGAACTGATACTCCTGAGCATCAGTTATTTCATGTAATGGGAAACAAAATGTCTTTAAATGGACAGATACTACCTGCACTTAGGCTTAGAGGTGTCCAAACTTGTTCAACTGAATTGTCTCCATTAGCGTTTTTAATGTGTTTTTTCAACACTGTAAAAAAGTCTCCCCTTGCTAAATATCATATTTTGTTTGTATGCTAATCTCATCACTAGAATAGGTATCACACCGAAAGACAGAAAAAGTATTAATGATGAAATGGTGAAGGGATTTGTACCTGACTTTTCAGTGCTTTGCCATTTGTATAGCCATTTAACACTGTGCAGAGTGGATGTACGGATCTTACCAAGCTGGGATGGCAGCCACTCACTCTCCCTTAAAAAAGTGTAAATGTTTTCACAGGGTACCAGTTTGGAGAAGGAAGCTCTGTAGACTTTTTTTTTCCTCTTTTTTCCTGGAGAGACCATTACTAATGACCCAGATGATCTGGAATCAGACCTGCAAAGCTGAGCATGTCTGCAGAAACGTAAGACATTAACACTTCCTTTTCTGGCTAAACCTCAACTTTTGTATTCTGCATGAATAACTGTATTACTTAACTTGTGGAGGACAGATATACCACAAATTGCTACATTACACCAGTTAGCAGTTTATTTATGACACTCTATCCTGTATCTGCTTTTCCCCAGCCTACGTAACTTCACCAAATGGAGTAACAAAGGCCAAAAGTATTTGCCAATGTTTGTGTTTCCAAACTCAACTCAAACGAGCTGTGGGTCTGACCTCCTGGTCATTCTGAAAATACTCTGAATGTGTTAAAAGTTGGTGTAAATCACCTTATATTCTTTCTTGAAAAGGGCAACCGTTTACTTCCACTTTGCAAAGGACCGCAGAGGGCCCAGGAGCTGTGGGTATTTCAAGGCACACCTTCCAAAACCAACGCAGGAAGAGCCTGTACCTGTACTCACTGGCTACCCACTTACCATCACAGTGTCTATGGCATTACTCAAACGAGTTAAAATACTTGCATGTAGTAAGGCTACCAGTTCCTAACACACCCTACCCACTGTCTCACTGACTTTTGGGGGGCTGAGACCCTCAGCTGGGGCGAGCAGCTGCAGCTGACGTAGAGCAGCTGAGGACACAAACCTTACGTGCCCACCTTCACCATTTTCTCCTAGGCAGGAACCCAGTGGGTTCCTCCAGAGCAGCCAGGGCTGATCACTGGCCAGCCGTGGACTAGCGTTACCACTTACCTATTGACTCATGCTTGATTAACTGCAAATCTTTTCAGAACTGAGCTAGAAAAAGGAGTTTCATTCTCAGATACATCCCTGTGGAGGCACGGTAGGCTAGCTGCCATAACACATATCCATTTCCACCGTCACTCACTTGCACAAGTGAATATTTCACACAGGGAGATGCGACGTGATACAGAGAGTACAGTTAATTTTCTCAGGATTAATATTTAACAGAGAACAGTATTAGCCTGACTAACTTCTAGCTCAAATATTTCAAATCTTAAATGACTTGGTAAAAACCGACCAGCTGAAAGAGACACTCCTAGTCACACAGCAGGCCTGGACTGGCAACTAACTGGAAAGCCCTGCAAGCACTTTTAGCAGAAACCGGACTATTTCTTAAATTCAGCAGAGCCCTATCAAATGGCAACAAGCATTCTGTCTCAAAGCCGCTCTGTGGTGCTGAGATAACACCCAGTCTTGCAGACTCTCAGCTGGCTAGAATGAAAAATTGTGACTGAATTTGCCATACACTGAGATTTGCCAATAATAAATTGCAGCAATGAAGCCAGAATTCGTGAAACTGTAAACAGAAAAGATAATGCAGTTTTTACATACACTCCGACTCAAAAGTAATGTTACTTGTTTAAGAGACCCTGCTCTGCTGCAGGATCAGGCCCTTGCCATAAAAAGGAAAAAATGAATGCAAGTTCGGTTTGTATGGTGAATTTTTAAACGCTTGTTACTTCACAATGCATTAGGTTGGCCAACAGACGATTTTAAATAGTCCTCAATTTTGAATATTAAAATATGACAGAGCTCACAGTTCTAAATTAGTCTGATAAGCAACTTAATCTGTGCTAACTGGTTTTCAATGGTTCGACGATGCCTTCTTAGGCTCTGGACTCATGTCATTATGTCATCTAATTTAATACGAAGTTCTGAGAATCGTGCATTGGCAGCAGCCCTGGCTATAAATCAAAGCTTCTTACTCAGAGAGACCAGGGTTATGACATCATACCGAGGCACTGGGCGGAAGACAATGGTCCTTCTGTGTGGGTCTGAATCTGGGAGAAATATTTCAGCCAGTTCTGCAAGCCCAAGTTTAAATGAAAGGCCCTTCTAGCAGGTAAAAAGTTAA